GAAAGAGAGAAAGAAAGAAAAAGAGAAAGAAAGAAAAAAACTCCACACGACTTATGAAAGTATTGTTGTCTAAGACTTTTGTGATTGCTTGGATGTGCCAGCCTGTGTTTCTTTCCTGCTCTGATGTCCACATCAACTTCTTCCAAGGATGTTAATAGCCTCCCTTTCTTGATTTTTGAGAACAGATGGATATATTAGAGAAGAAATAACAACTCACATACCCATAACTTTCCTTAGCAAGTTCCCTAAGGACTTGGTCCCTACAGGTGAGATTTTAATTAGAATATTCAGTCCATGAGGCCTGGAGCTGTGGATGGGTCACAGGAGAACTTGTTCCCTAAGAGCTCCATGTCAGTGTAATTCCCTTCAAGACATCAGTCATTAGACCCTTAAATCCCAATCTGGCTTTATTCAAACTCACTGTAGTGGGAACTACCTGGTGCCCAGGGCAACCTTGTTGATGTGATTTTATTTTATTTCAGTGGGGTCTTCACAGTCTCACTGCTGGAAGCCTTTTCCTTCACAGTGACATTGCTGTGATACATCAGTCAGAATGACCTCGGATAGCACTTTCTGACAACAGGAGGAGTGATTTACTAAGTGATTTACAGGTTGAGTGATTTTCTAAGCATTTTACATCCCTTGTCTTATTTCATCCTCAAAGCAGTCTTTAAAACATCAAATGTGGGTATTACTAATTTCATCAAAAAAAACAGAAAATGAGGCTGTGTGAAGTGAAAGGATTCATGTTGTTCCCATCTGAAATAAGAAATCTAGAATTTAGGCCTTTTGAGGTTTGACGTGTAATGGCAGGGAATCTCCTTGTGGGCAAGCAGGCATACGCAAAGGAATGCGATGAGGTCATTCAGAAGGTACAGACTTACAGTTACAAAATAAACGCCATGATGGTGTAATTGTACAGCATGGCGACTATAATTAATAACCCTGCATTGCATATTTGAAAGTTGCTAAGAGAGTAAATCATAAAAGTTCTCAAAACAGGAAAACAATTTAGTAACGAGGGATGGGAGTGGTGGTTAACCAGATTGACTGGGGTGATCATTTTGCAATATATACAAATATCAAATCATTGTGCTGTACACCTGAAACTAATATAATGTTACAGACCAATTATGCTTCACACCTCTGTCCTTATCCCCCCATGTTTATGTGAAATTGGAGCCCTAGAGGTAATGATGTAATGTGATTTTAGCATGATCAATGAGAATGCATACGGTAATGTTAATACACTCATGCTCTCCCTCAACAGGCAAAGCTGGGTTTTTACAGACACACTAATCACTCGGGCTCTAGCTGTGTTGGGTAAGGAGCTGTTGTTACTCTCATGGGGGTTTTGTCTTCTGCGAGTTCCAAGGTTATGTGACTCTCTCTACATGTTCCCATGTGACTCCAAGGGGACTTATATTATAGGTAACAGACGAAGTGCCAGAGCCCATTGACCATTCATCCATTCACCCAGCTTTCAATAGTTGTCTAGTACCTACGGTGGCCTTTCCCCAAACTGACATTTACTGAGAGCCTGCGGTAATGACCTGGGCAAATACCTGCAAATAACAGTGACTTTGATTATGATTATGATAATCGCCCTTTTTCAGGATAATTCAGGGATTCTTATTATCTCATCACAGCGGCAGTCTTTCAGGGAGAGTGTAGTTCAGGGTGACCTTCCAAATAGCTCCATTTTATAGATAAAGATATAGGGACTCAAAGCAGTTAACTGACTTATCTGAGAAGGGAGATGAGCAGATCTTGCCATGGAATTCATGTTACCCACTTCCCCGGCAATTAATTTTTTTCAATATCTGCCATGCTCTGAAGAACTTTCCATTTTCATCAGAGACTCAGAAGAACATCTCAGTAGAATGTTTCCTTTCTTTCATGGATTGAATTTCTGACTTGAGACTCATACGTGAATGTGCTGAATTTGCCTCTTGCGTGGTTCAGGGAGCAAGATAAGCTTCTGGTCAATCTACATCTGAATGGATTTTCAGGGACTGATTTTTCTTGGAAAATACATCAAGGCATCCGTTTCCCCCTTGATTTATGTGTCACTCTATACTGAACGTTTTGAGTGTCTCTTTAACAGGAAAATATGTTACAAACACCATGGAAATTCTTAAGGAACAAATGTATTTATCTCGTTAAAAAAAGTGAAAGGAACAGGAGGGTCTTGAGTTTTTGCTTTGCCACATAAGAGCTTGTGTAACTTGGACAAGTTCTTAAACCTACCTCACTGTTAGTTTCTTCTTTCGGCGTATAGTGATATTGGGAATTTTGTCTATCCCAAGGAGTTTTAGAGTATGAAATCGGATCTCAGTCTGAAAATTCTTTATGATTTGGAGGGCACATAACAACACTAAGGAAAAAGAGAAGGAATGGAGAGGAATAAAAGAGGGGCTAAGAAACCAATTACTAAATGCTTGAAAAAAAAGAGGTACACGCACCAAACCAGAAGGAACAATTTATGGGAATGAGCAGACCTGGACTCCAGTTCTCATTCGGAAGCATTACTGGCATTAGGCACCCACACTGATTAACTATTACATATCCTCCTGGTTGGTGAACAATAGTGTAAATGAGACCATCGTATCATCAACTGGCCTGTGGGACAAAAATAATGTTCTCTGCTTGGGCACAAAGAATAAAAATGACCAGTAATAATGATTATTTTATACATTGTTCTTGATCCACTATACAATATATTGCATTGTGTTCTTAACTCTTACATTAGAATACTCTGATTTTTGTTTTCTTCAAGCTGTTTCCTTTAGTGGTGTTATTTAGTTTTGTGGATTTTATATGATAGGTGAAGGTTATACCATTAGAAAATTTCCAATATAGTTCAAAATAATAAAATATGATGCAAGCAGTCCAATTGTTTATGCAAACCTTCCAAATTAGATGACCAAAAGGAATCTCAAACTCAGCATGACTTACCTGGAATCGTCACTCTTACTCTTTCTCAAACATCTGGTTCCTCTACACCATTATCGGTACCACTATACAAAAATGGAATTATCATTGTTCCCTCTTTCCTCAATGCCCCACATTTAATATATCAGAAAATCTAACCAGCTCTACTTTTGAGATATCCAAGAATTGGATAATTTCTCATTATCTGTCTCACTACCACCCTGATCCAAGCCATCATTATCTGTTGTACAGATTAATGAATTAATGCAAAGAAAAATGAATGGATCATAACATCCCAGATTTCATTCCTGCATAGAAGCATTTCCTAACCTACCTACTCTTTGTCTCTAAATAAAGCCTTTCACTATCTTCTGATAGCAAAAATATCTATATTTATTGAATGCTTATTAAGTGCTAAGCAATATTGTTATATCCATTTTAAACACAGAATATTGAGGTTCACATCCTACTTAATGCACAAGCTGACTCAGAAAATAGATTGATCCTTACTTGGCATAGCTGTACTGGGCACTATCTGGGTAGAAGAAGAATTTTGGGTGAAAAATTGGAGGAAGATACAGAAAGAATATGAGAGTGAAAGGAGTTTGGGGCAGAAGCTAATGGAATGAGTGAGGATGTTGGTTTTCAGAGTTATCTGGATTCCTCTATTACAATATCTACTCCTCTAATCAGTATATAGACCAATAGCTCTGCCCGAGTCATAGTGTGTAAAAACTTACAGTGTCAGTTTGCATGATCACTCCAGTTTGATAATGATTTCAAGGGAAAAGTGATGGACAAGTGATACTGAGCAGTACCCAGAGTCAGCCATCTAGTACATGCTGGAGCTGGAATTTGCTTCCAGATGTCCCTAGTCTGGACTCATGCTTTTAACATTTATTGTCTGGATGTCTGCATTTCTCTTGTACCCATTGTGTAGTAACTACACGTTGTGTGTACCCTATTATCCTCTGAGACTACTGAAAGCTAGAACATGATATATGAAACTATGTTTTGCTACAATATAATACTGCTCTTGATACTACAGTGGTAATTGAATGAGAAGAATTAAATTACACTAACCTATTTTATTGCATAATTATTCTGTGTCCAGAGTTTGAAAATCTGAATTGAGAGGCCAACATATCTTACTCAGTAGCAAATCCTGGGATTGTACAGAAATCTCTTTTCATCTCTGAACTTTAATTTCAATTATTTATAAGGCTAGAAGATTTGGATATATTATGTCCAAAATCCTTTTAGCTATGTATCTCCCAATATTTAATAATTACATTTTGGTTTTTGCTCCTGTTAAATTTGAGAATTCTGATATAAGGCATACCTTGGACATAATGATGGATCTAAGCTCAGTTACCACCTAGATTCTCTTTCCTTATTGCCATAGGATACTCACATACTGCACCAATGATCTCAGTGGAGAATCGTACAGAGCTGACTGAATTCATTCTTGTTGGGATAACTGATGACCCAGGACTGCAGATCCCACTCTCTCTGGTGTTCACTCTCGTCTGCCTCATCACTCTGCTTGGGAACTTGGGGGTGATCACATTGATCCTGCTGGACTCTCGTCTCCACACTCCCATGTACTTCATCCTCAGTAACCTGTCTCTGGTGGACTTTGGTTACTCCACAGCTGTCACTCCCAAAGTGATGGCTGGATTCCTTATAGGAGACAAGGTTATCTCCTACAATGCGTGTGCTGCTCAGTTGTTCTTTTTTGCATTCTTTGTTGTTGTGGAAATTGTTCTCTTGAACTCCATGGCCTATGACCGTTATGCAGCAGTGTGTAAACCACTACATTACACCAGCATCATGACAACAAGCTTGTGTTTGTGTCTGATCATATGTTCCTATGTCCTTGGTTTTCTGGAGGCCTCTGTGCACACGTGGAACATATTCAATCTCTCTTTCTGTAGATCCAATGTGATTGATGA